TTTTATCTTGGCGCTTGTGTTGAAATAACCAACTCTGCTTGGTCTGGTTGGCATGCTCGAGTTGCTGATGAGATACAGTAACAAGTAACCTCAAGGTCTTCATGCAGGCTGCAAGGAGAAGGGATTTAAGCTCTGTGAGTAAAGATGAGAGAAAGAGACACATACATGTCAGGTGGTCTGCTTGCCTGCTTTAATAGTAAGATGGGGACTAAGAGAAAGGAAATGTGTCAATTCATTACATTTGTACATACCATATCCATCCTTACATACCAGACTCTGGACTTTTATCAATCTTTATTTACCTTTGACTTTTCTGCTCCATCCAGTTTTGTTAATATACAAGAGAATATTTATTTATAATGAAAAGGCTCAAAATCGGAAGAAGCGCTCCTGTTTTGTTTTGTTTTGTTCTGTTATGCTTCTCAAAGAGCCACCCTAGCTGGGTAGAACCTTTATACTGTAGCTTTCAGAAAATCTGAGGCACTCTTGCTTTATTGGGGGCATAAATGTTCTGCGAGGGACGTGGGTGGTGCTGTGGTCTAAACCACAGAGCCTAGGGTTTGCCGATCAGTAGGTCAATGGTTCGAATCCCCGCGTTGGGGTGAGCTCCCGTTGCTTGGTCCCAGCTCCTGCCCACCTAGCAGTTCGAAAGCACATTAAAGTGCAAGTAGATAAATAGGTACTGCTCCAGCAGGAAGGTAAGCGGCGTTTCCGTGCGCTGCTCTGGTTCGCCAGAAGCGGCTTAGTCATGCTGGCCACATGACCCGGAAGCTGTCTGCGGACAAACGCCGGTTCCCTCAGCCTATAGAGCGAGATGAGCGCCACAACCCCAGAGTCTGTGACTAGACCTAAAGGTCAGGGGTACCTTTATCTTTAAATGTTCTTCACACGCATAGGAGGTCAAACCTCTTTCCAATTTGTTTGCATCCTTCTTTTGAAAAACGGTAACAAAAATGGGAGGTTAAATGTCTAAATTAGCCAGTATGATTAGTATTAGAATCTCCTGGCATGTGTTTGGAACAGAGAATGGAATCCCCAGGCTGAGGGGTCAAATGCAGCCCTCCAGCAGAGGTGCATTTAGGGGTGCGAGGCCAGTTTGGTTGCACCAGAGCAGAGCCTTGGGAGCACTGCAGGTAGTGCTGCAACTATGATGTAGAATGGAAGACAAGTGGCAGGAGTGCTGTATTATGGCATCACACAGGATACTGCTGAAATTTGAGACCCCAAAGTTCCTCCACCGGTGCTGGGCTTCTCTGTCTGGCCTTTGGAGCTGTCTCCATCCCACATCTCCTCCCCAGCACACCATCTCCCCCCACCCACCTCACAAACCTTGCTTCCTGCCTTCCTTGAGCATCGTTGCCTGGCTGGAATGTGCCCTTGAACTCTGATAATGCCAGCCTGGACAGAAGGAAGATAGAGGTGTGAGGGAGTGTGCAGAAACAAGCTTACCACTCACAAATAAAAGATGGGCATTCCTTACTCCTCCCTCTTTTTTGCCTCTGGCCTCACTCACCACTGGCATGTGCCCCCTGGAAAGTTGCCCTTGGCCTGGAAAACGTTCGCCACCCCTGGTTTAGTGCCAAGTACTGTTTCACACAATGCATCAAGAAATGCCATTTTAAAAGTTCTTTGCCCAATGGAGCAAAGTTGTTTAGCAGACGGAGACCATGAGATTCCCTGAACTTGGGCCAGTCAGAAACCTTCAGCCTAGCCTATCTCACAAGGATAACACAAGGTCAGTCGCCTTGAGCTGTTTGGAGAAAGAGGAGACACACATAATCATGAAATAATTTTTCAACCATATTGTGTTGAAGGTCCATGTTCAAACTGTGGTTCCTGTGTAATCTCTTGCTCCTGCTTGCAATGCTACTGCATATTCTTTAAATAAATAAAAAACCCTATTCTGTGTAATAATTTATATATGTCTCTTTAAAGGTTCGTGTTGCTGCTGCTGCTCACACTCTGGTTTATAAAGGTGCTCATCTATTTTGAGAGCATCGTGTCTGGGAAGATGACAAATGTCTCAAGGGACTACATGCAAGTATTACTACCTCTGCTTCCCTTGGTTTGATTTTCATTTTACAGGAACGGTCAGCTGAATGTGATAGATGCATATCTTGCCACTAGCATGAATGATTACAGCAGCAATAAAATGTCTGGAGTGACCACAGACAGCACTGTAAATCATTGCATCTGGGAAACAGATGCTTTTGATCGAGGAGATACATCCCCATTCAGGAAGCTGCTTTTAAAAATACAAAAATTCCCCCATTCATCTTCTGACTTTCACTAAGGTGACGTACATAGAATTTTGCAACTGCAACAAAAATGTGCACCTTAACTGAAATCAGTTGGAAGTCAAACATCGGTTCACTACACTGAATAATGTTCATCATAATTATCCCAAACTGATGTAAGTCACTATTTATGTTTGGCTTTCTACTGCAGGAGGTCTTCTGAACTTGCTGTTTTTGCTGTCTGGTTCTATGCTTGTATCATTTTTATCTGCTTCCATTGTTTTTAGTCTGCTGTTGAAATTTTATATATATTAGAACTTCTGTTGTGCTTTAGATTATGTTTTATTATGGTTTGCAAGCTTGTAATAGATTATGCTTTAATATACTGTGAGACACCTGAAAAGGGGTAACCCTGATGAATGGCTAATAAAGGTGTAAGGCTCTCAGGACTAGCTGCATTATTCTGGCACATGGGCAGAAAATCCTACAAATCTATCTCCCCCTCCCTGTGAATAAAAATAAAATAATCAATTAAATAACTAACAGTTTGCTGCCCTTTCATGATACACTGCCTCTCTTTGCCTAATAGTAGGGATGGCCCTGTTTCAAACCAGCTATCTGGCTATGGATCTGCATGCATCAAACTGTAAGGCAAATAAATAGCACATTCATGTGTGACTGGGCATTGCAGCAGGCATGCTGCCCTATGGCTATGGAGGTGATGGGAAGGATATTTTATCCCTGGTACCTGGATGGATGAATAAATTCTGTTGAGAGGTGTTTCCCTTTCTTCCTTCCAGCAAGAATCAGCAAAGGGAAGATCACCCTGGCCTCAGATATTGAGCAGAGGATCAAAAGCCACTCTTAAACACAGAAGAAGAAGAAGAGGTATGCAGCAATAGACCGTTTTCATGTGGCTGCAGAGGTGAGGGAGAAACAATCTGGTTTCAGTCAGTCACCAACTAGATGAAGAACACCAGCTCCCTTCCACCCAGCAAGAGCATCTGCAAGAGGAAGGCCAGTTTTTTCTTCTTCTTTAATGTAAATATTTGAAATATTTGTGTAAGCTGCTCAGAGCCTCTGAAATGGAGTGAGATACCAATCAGACAAGTCCATTTGTCACTCTTTCTTTAAAAACAGGGAACAAAATTGTTACTTTGAATGAATATCTAACTGGCAAGATTAAACAGTAGTAAATCACAAGGATCTGAAGATGTCTGCCTAAAAGTTTGTGAAGAAGCCACATATGTTTTTAAATGAGCTTCTATATAAGATGTCTCGAAGGTTTGCATAATAGTATCAGTACGAATCGGCCTGCAGGGGAGCTAATTATATGAAAATAGCATTAATAGAAATTGCTAAACAGGTAGATGAATATTCCACAATGAAGAATAAAATAATGCTTGGAGTGTACTGAAATACTAAAAAGGACAATGTTAAGAATATAAGAGCCCGCTGGATCAGGCCGGTGGCCCATCTAGCACACCATCCTGTTCTCCCAGCCCTCTACCCTCCTGTGGTTTCCAGATCCGTCCACAGAATCATTGTGGGTAAGTAATATTAGGCCTCCAAAGTAATTTAGTACTGGTAACATGCTACTGTCCCCTGATCAAAATGCTCAAGGAAATCTTGAAATGAAGAACGAAATCAAGGAAGCATTCCAAGAAGGAAATGTTGTAACAATGGATGACTTCAACAAACCTCACATAGATCAGTCATGACAAAAGTAAAAAATTCTAGATAGCTTAAGTGACTGTGTCTTGGACCAGTTGGTCATTGAAGTGTCCAGAGGGGCAGCAAACCTGGTTTTTTTCTTGGGTTATGGCCAGGAGCTGGTGTGAGATGTATTGTTGAAGCAATTGGGAGTAGTGATCATAGGACTTTTAAATTAAATGTATGTGCAAATGGACAATTATCAAGAAAACCCAACAGTTACCTTTGACTTCAAAAGAGGAAATTTTGAATTTTGAATCCCCAAAACAAGGTGATTGGTTAAAAAAAGAAGTTGATATGCAAATTAATATCACTCCAAAATGCTTGGGTTTTTGTTTTGTTTTTTAAAAATAAGCTTAACTGGAGCATATACCACAGATCAGGAAAGGCACAACCAAAGGAATGCCAGTGGAGTCAAAGATGCCATTAGAGGCTTCCTTCAAAATAATGCCCAAATGAGAACAAAAAAGATCACCAATGTTGGCAAAAGAAATTCAAGCAGACAATAAGGGATACAAAAGATAATAATTTGAGAAGCACATTGCTAAAAACATAAAGACACACAACAAGGAATTATTTAATTTCATTAATAGCAAAAGAACAGCTAGAGAGGTGGCTGGACCTTTGGATAACAAGGGAGTCAAAGCTGTGCTAAAGGAGCATTAGTAGATTCCAGAGAAGCTGAACTAATTCTGTGCATCTGCTTCATGGAATATATAGCCAAATCCCTGTGTTTGAGGTAACGTTTACAGGAGGGGAGACTGAGAAACTAAAGCAAACAGTGGTAACGAGAAATAAAGTTCTTTGCCTAATAGATGCAATTATGCTTTATGACTTCCTGGTGGCTAGTGGAGCTGCAGACCATGATCATTCTCTGACAGGCAACCCAGAGAGAAAGATGTTTATTTTCTTGTAGGAAAGTTATTTTGAACCCAGGGAAGACAAAGGTTGAAAATAAAAAGAGATCTTTTTTGTGTGCTTGAGTTCGCGCACACTGCTGCAAAATGTACTGTTAATTGTTGCAGAGTTTTCTTCTACCTTCTTGGGCAGTTTGCCCTCGTGACGTGTGTGGACTATGCTTTTGCAAACAGTAGCATTGACAGATTGCCAGAAGCTGATATCCTCGTCAGTGAGGACCTAAGTAGTCATACCAAAGGAAAGAGGACAGAGTCAAGCTGTATGCTGTATGGCTGCTTCTGAAAATATGACTCATAGAATCTTATATTTGGAGTGGGTCTTAAGGGCATCTTGTCCAACCCCCTAGGCAGTGCAGGAAATCCAGAGACAGAGTATCCCCAACAGATGGCTGTCCAGCTTCTGTTTGTGGAATCATCATCATCATCATCATTTTTAATTTGTATACCATCTTTATATTTTACAATACTCAAGGCAGTTTACAAGCTGAAGAAACAAAAAATGTACATCTTATAACAACATAATGCAATACAGAAATGTCATAATAAAACATAACTTTAAAATAGGCAACCTACATCAAAAAGTAACATTCAACAATCATTAGAATAGTATAAAATAATATCAACATATAAAAGTTAAACAGAAATCCACTTAGCAGTTACAATAAATAATATCTAAACTATAATCAGTAAAACAACGGCAAGCCACAGTACATAAAATAATACAATACACATTGAGAAGCAGAGACTAGAGGGTAGAGCAAGGCAGGTAGAAGGAGGCCTTGCCTGATGGAGTCTCTCCCCTCAGTTTTTCCTTCAGGAACAGCTCCCTTATGAGGACTCCTAGGGCTGGAGGGTGGGGCAAGGAAAGAGGACTTGCCTGATGGAGTCTCTCCCCTCACAGTCTAGCAAGGGAGAATCCACCACCTCTCTAAGCAATTGGCTCCATTCATTGAATTGTAGAATTTGAAGGGACCCTGAGGGTGCTCCAATCTAACCCCCTGCAATGCAGGAATCTCAACTAAAGCACCCAAGACAAATGCAGTTTACTTCATCCATCAGTTCTAAACCATTTGTATGTCCAACTGCAGATATTGCTATTCACCATTTTCAAAAAGCGCACATGCCCTTCCTGAAGTAGCTGTTTCCCAGAACTATATATAGAAATGAGAATGTCTCCTTCGAAAAGCCTACACAAGTTAGGCAAGGAACACAATTAGAGCTGCTGGTTGCATTCAACTACAACGTTCCTATCAAGTAGGCTATATTGTGAAAGTGCTCTTAGTTCATGTAATATACATCTGAAATCTACCCTCTTGCAATTATGTCCTCAGAGGAAACAGAAAGAAAGTATTTGCCCTCTTCTTTGTGACAACACTTCACTGATACTTGAAAATGCTATCATGTCCCCCCACGTTCTTCCCTGGGCTAAAGACACACAGTAGCTCTTATTGATGTACTTGTTTATCAATGTACTTATCAAAGTACTTCTTTTCCATAACTCTGACCATATTTGTTGCCCTCCTCTTAACCTTTTTCCGATTTGTCTACAACCTTAAAGTGCAACGTCCAGAACTGAACACAGCACTCTAGATGAGGTATGACTATTAGTGCAGAATAAAGTGGAACTGCTACTTTCAGGGAAACAAATATTCTGTTAATGCAGCTAAAATTGCATTAACCCTTTTTTGCAGTCACATCACACAGCTGACTCACATTTTGCTTGTGGCAGATTACAATCCTGGGAATATGTTCATATGTACTGCTGCCAAACCAGATATCCCCATACATTCGGATCCCGCCCCCTCCTGTCAATGTCATTTTAATTATTATTTTTTGTCTTTTGAGCTGTTAGGTATCTCTTCCAGTTTTGCTTCTTCTGGAATTTGATAAGGATTATCCTTGAGCCCCCCATCTATGTTATTGATATGAAATCTTGAAGAGTACTTTGCCCATGACAGAGCCCAGTAACACCCCATTTGAAAACTTTCTTCTAGTCCATATGGAGTCATTTTCCTACCAGGTCACATTTAACCTACTTGCGGACTAAAACATAGTAGGGAAATTTGTCAAATGCTTTGCTAAGATCAAGATAAATGACAGTCTCAGCATTCTCACAATCCACTAAGATTGTAACCCAGTCAAAGAAAGAGATCAGATTGGTCTGACAGGATTTATTCTAGACAATTCCATGTTGGCTTCTACTGATCACTTCAATGTTATCAAGATGCTAACAAACATACTCCTGTATATTCTGTTCCACTATCATCCATGGTGTTGAAGACATATTGTTTGGTCTTTTTTGTGGGGCCCTCCTTCCTCCCCTACTCATTTAAAATAGCTAGGCATTTCCTGCCCAAATCCTCATTAGTCTTGAGCTGCAATCCTTATCCCTTCACCAGCGACACTGCAATATAGTTCCCTTTTTCACACAGTGGATTTTTGGACCGTTGGATGACAACGGAGTCAAATTTGTGCTAAGGGAGCATAAAGAGGTGCCAGAGCAGCTGAATGAATGGTTTGCATGTGTCTTCACAATGCCCATCAGTAAACAGCCTCTTGTTCTGGGCCTACTAAGTAAGTAACCTTGCTGTGTATTGAATAAGAACGTAATAGTTGGTATCAGCATCTCTTTTCAGATGGCTGCTTTCCTCTCACATAGTTACAAGCTTCACCCATCATTCAATCAGATTATGCTTAGTTTTACTTCAGAAACTCAGTAGACCATAGAATTATGCACAATAAAAATGTTCAGAAAACAGCAGAACTCATAGGCTCTGCAACCCAAGGTACCCTAGACAAAACATTGCTCATGTTTTGATCCTCACAAAGGACTTTCTGATACTGGATGCTGCTTGTATCATCACTCGTGCCATGAAAAGAATTAATAACCTTAAATTGCATTGATTGTAACCATTATTTAATATTCCCATGGGATTGTAGGGAGGGAGTACCTGAATTCTGGGTGCAGCATTCAGGCAGCAAGTCTAGAGATGATCCCATTTTCCAGACTCTATCTCAGTGTATCACATTAAAGAGAAAAAAAGGTTACGATGTCATGTTGACTTTTCTAGTACAAATACCTCTCTATTTCAGGCAAACACCCACCCACCAAAATAAGACAGGACAGGCAGAGACAGTGCTGACTTAGAGAAACAAGATTTCATAGACCAGTTTTGCATGGGTTTATGGACATCTGATGAGAAACCTTCTTTGTATTACCTAATTTTAAATGTCCAGAGCAGCCAATACTCTGGACCAGAGTAGAATGAAGAATTTTAACAACCACAGATTTTCTTTCCCATGCATTAAAAATATAGAATGTTTCCAATATTTTTTTACTATAGAACAATTTGCAGTATGGTGTTAAAAGAGGATTTACCGCTGTAGTAAAAAGTCAGCTCAGTCAGTAGAGTATGCGACTTAAATCTCAGGGACATGGGTTTGAGTCCCTGGACATTGGACAAAAGCTTCCTGCACTGTGGGGGTTGGACTAGATGACCCTTGTGATCCCTTCCAACCTCTACAAAGAACCCTATGATTCTTTGAATTCAGATAGTTCCATTAGATGTATGCAATGCATTTCAGAAACACAGCAGAGCATATGCAGCACTGAGACTTGCTTTCGAACTCCCTAGAGATTCAAAAGTTTTGATGTACCTGGTGGTGACCTGTGTGGTGGAAGTGGAATAAAATTATTCTCTGAATTGTTGAAATTTTGAAAGGAGAGATAACAGAGAATGAGAAATTCCTTTAAAACAAATAATTTAAAACCTAAAATATTGTTTTCCCAATGTTATGGTTGATTTCCTGGACATGAAACAGTTGCTTCAGGCAACAGATTCCAGACGGGTGCAGTCTCCATCTCTTTTTATCACTTAACAAAAGAATAGCCAGGGAGGATGACATCTTGAATTTTGCATCAGGTGTGAATATCTCCAAGGCCAGCATTGAGAAATACTGATTCTGAGCCACTGCCAGGAAGCCTTGACTGGTTCATCTTTCCCAGCAGCATATTTTCGTCTTTTCAAAGTGATGGATTGCCACTGAGTAAGAAATGCGGAATGTAGGCCACAGTGTGAGGAAGCAAATAGATAGAATAGACAGAATCACATGCTTCAAAACATGTATCTGTTATCACTTCACAAACCAATGTGGACCTACATGCATTGGGCAAACCAATCAAGATTGCTCAAAGTATGCAAGGTCGCATTGGGACTGGGCTTTTTCATATAATATCTGGGTCCACATTATGATTTGCCAGAAGTCTCCAGGTCTGCCTGTCCCCCTTCAGGGGGCAGACTTAACTCCCCAGATGGGCAAGAGTGCCATTGTTGTTGTTTGCAAGCTGAATCAAATATGCACAGGACTGCACTTCTACGAATGCAATCTTATGTTTGTTTATTTGGGAGCGAGTCCAACTGAATGCAACGGGATTTACTTCTGCAGAAACAATAACAGGATTGAGCTTTATTCAAATTACAGTGATAAAGAAGCTGTAAATATGTATGTACATTGTTTTGTCCGGCCCAGCCTCAGTGTTGAAATATATTCTAGTTTGTGCTGGTCAAAAGGATGACCTTAACGCCTGCATATATGTAATATACACACTAATCATTCTGTGTGCTAGAGGAAACAACTGGAAGCAGATAGTAGATATATTTTCTAGTATATAATAAAAATACAGAGATGAGTCTGCTTTAGTACTTGTTATAAAGAAAATGTGTAATGCTGAATTTGACATTTCAGAATTTCTAAAAGGAACCATATCATCAGCTCTCCCTGGAGTGATTTCATATATGACGCAGCAATAAATCTAGGTTTACCACTGAGTGTATATATCAAACAGGGAACCACAGCCAATCCAAGATGAGAGTGGAATATTATAAATATTTTCAAACATTGGTTTCTTGCATTAAAACACTGGTTGTTATGTATACTCAAAAAATAAAGAAAGAAAGAAAGAATAATTGGTGCATACCTACATAGATAGTGAGTAGAGAGGCCCCCAAAGGCTTCACTATTCTTGAGACATACAATAAAACAAACAAGAACAATACTTTGGGGTGCAGGCATGTATTCCCACTGAAGACAGTGGCAAAGCTTAGGTTCCATTGATTTCAATTTGGATTCTGATTTTCTTTTCATCTGACACAGTGTGCATGGGAACTTTTTCAACTCAACAATCATGTTCCCAGGGCTGCATGTTAGTGGGATTAGATACAAAAGCAAGTGGAGCAATGAAGGTGACTCCTACTACTCTACAGTAGGCTACATTCCCGTCCT